TCAGATAACGTGAGCGAAATATTGAACTATTATAATATAACCCATTTATGGGTGTGTGTGTGTGTGTATGTTTATGTACATAATAAATAACAGCAAGGGCGTGGGCGTTGCACGACAGGAAACGACCAGACCAACCCTTCCACCGCAAGACTTCGAGTTCTTGGTCATTCCGCCAAAATGCGCGCTCTAAGCAGGGTCTTGGTCGCGGTATGCGCGATTATTACGTTGTCCTTTTGTGACGCTTCCTCCGTAGCACTCAGGGCCAAACGAGGTGTAGTTCCGGGTAATGCGGCCTCCAGGCCCAAAGGTAGGCATACAATATATTATTATTATTTTTGCATTAGGTATTACTTAAAAGTTTTTATAGTACTGCTGCAGCACACCGTATCGGTGACAGACCCTAAGATTGACAGTCTACATAGGATTTGGCAGAGTCATATATAGGTACCCACCACCACACTACCGCCGGTGGTGACCCGATGTGGGTGAGGTAAACCCGCGGTTCTTATTCCCCAAATATGTCACTCACCATTACGTTTGTTGTATGCAGATAGCCTAGAGCAGAGGTCGCACACTGGCACGTAGCCGACGGCGAACACTATTTTTGCGGACCCTCAAATCTGGAGTAGTTTTTCAATTTTTTTAATACAAACATAAAAACTATAAGACGTGTGTCTTATAAAATGTTACGGCAAAAAAATTATCGAAGAAATTGATACAATAACTACAAACATAAATTTAAAAAAAAAATTGTATTCATTAATGTGTGTTTAAGTCATTAAAACTGTTTAGGATCGCGGAGTTTGGTAAGTTTCAAAACGGACCTCCATAAAAATTAGTTGGTGATCCCTGGCCTTGGTCTAGATTACTTCTATTAGGTAGGTATATAATATGTAAATATTCATGGTCAAAACTGTATAATACATTATATATATATTATATAGGTACGTATAACGTATATTGATGGAAAGTGATATATTTGAGGGATTAGTTAACTGCACCCGCCGTTAAAACCTCTGATATGCGGCCGCGGTCGCTCAAGCGTAATAGGTAATTAGTATGGCGTGTATTAAAATGCTCTAAAAACTAGAATAAACAAAAAATGTCTTAAAAAATCAATATAAGAATGCACTTAAATGTTACAAAAATGAAAAAATACGTCCTCATTTTTTTTAAAAATTAAGCATACCTAATAATGGCTAATATTGATTAGAATAATATTTTGTATAGGTATCTACTTTTTACGGCTTACTTTTATTTTTATTTTTAGTTTCGTCTTCTGTGAAGTAATTGAGAATTGAGATCGATTAGTTTTCTTTTGTACCTATAAATGTGCAATAACGTAGTAGCTCTGCCGATCACGCTGATTTATGTTTTAAACACCTACTTATATCTATTAATATCTATTTTATATCTATTTTTAAACGATAAAATATGAGAACATTTGCAAACTACGAGTATTCACTCAAAATAAAAGTCAGAATTTGTGAAACAGATATTTTATTTTTAGATTCTAAGGTTAGGTTTAGGTAAGGATTTTGTTTTTGTATAGCAATTACGGTTTAGAACACAGTGAAACCTCTCTTAACGGCCAACAGACACCTCCCGATAGCGGATGTTTTCTCTGGAACCAATTACAAGCTTTCTACAATCTGAACTCTCTTTATAGTGAACAAAATTTCAGCGACCAAGAGTACTTAGAGGTTTCACTGTACTTAAACAAATGTGCTTTCATTTAAATTCGTGCTCTGTATCCCTGTAATTGTTTCCCATAACTAACTAAATAAGCCTATAATATCCCTACCGTTCATGATAGAAATGTATAATTATAGGTAGGTATTCACTATTTGTAAATACATAATTTATACTTGGTTTTAGATGCTATTCGACGGTCTGAGTGCCGTGTCGATAACAACTGCAAGCCATGGCCGAAGACGTCATGTGGCAAGGATCCGGTAGATGGTCAACGTCGGTGTCTGTGTGCAGATCAAACTCATCCGATCAATGACGATTGCATAACGTCCCCACAAGGTAATCCCAAGAGTTAGCTTAATGAGAAATTTAGTGTTTAAGTATACCAGCTGTATAGTTCTCATGAACGATGGTTTACAGAGCTGGGAATGCCTTGCGAAAGGGACATTCAATGCATCCAGTTAGCTCATTGCACACACAACACTAGTGAAACGCACCCGGACATCAAGGTATGTCAGTGTAGAGAGGAGTATGCTGACGATGACGGGACTTGCAGTGGTGAGTGTAATGTTTGGAAACAAATAACACCGAGTTATGTGAAAACAATAAAACATATTAAATTATGTTACAGGTGGTGTACGAGCAATGCTATCCATATGTCTAGCGATTTTAGTTGCCGCCGTCTTGCAAAATAACCACAATTAAATAGCTTAGATTTTATTGCAAAGAAAACCACATAGTAAATTAACAGTATTGAATAAGACATCACATTTCTTTTTCTTTTATAATTTTTGGTAAAGAGTGGCTGATAGTGTATTACCAACAGCTCCTCCAAACTGGAACGATGGAGTCGGTATAGTGTGAACAACTTGAAAAACTAAAGGGAAAAACATATTTTTTCTTTACTAATAAATAGAATTATTACTTAGTAACTTCTTACCATCGCCAAATTGTGCATTCAATTCTAGCTGTGTCCAATTACAACTAACAATCAAAAACATTCCGTTTGACTGCAATAAGTCTACTATATTTTCTTTATATCGGTTTCTCTTTTCTTTACTTTCATCATCCATACTAACAACATCGTAAGTACCTTTATCCAAGACCAATGAAAATGTCGGTAAAGTTTTCACATCATCAGTCAAAAAGTCAAACTCCTTTAGTGTTATATTTTCTATATTTTGATCTTCAACTATTGAATTGGCTAATTTTACTGCAGGTGCTGAATAATCTATGCCGTACAGATTGGAAAATCCTAATTTAGCCTGATTACAATTGTTTTTTTTTTTTTAACAACACTAATTAATTTGCATATTTAATAAAAAATAAAAATATATTTACTAATTCAATTAGAAGTAAAGCATTTCCACATCCTACATCTAAAATGGGATCTTCTTGACTAATTTTACAGTTTGATTGTATACACCTATAAAAAAAATATAAATATATTTTGAATAAATACTTTATTTTTTTAATTTATGAAAATATTAATAGTTTATACAATTATTATATTTTATAATATACAGTTGAGCATTAATTTGTTCTAATTTATAGTTATTAGTAATAACCTATTACTATAGGTAATGAATTAGTTTATAAACATCCTTTGTGTTAATTAAAATACCTTTAATCTAAAAAAGATAATCTCTTCACTCTAGTTTTTAGACAATCAACTTGAATAACCTTTATCCTTATTTCTTTTATCCTCATTTATAATTTCAGTTAGTTAAGATTAAAGATACTTCAAATACATACAAATAAGGAATTTCATGTAAAACATACAAAATAAACTTAATGTCTTATTTAGAATAATATCTCCAACTACAAAATAAGAAATGTAGATAAATGTTAACCTTTTAAACATATTTAATTTTATTAATCTCACTATGATGTAAATTTAAGTATAAGTTAATTACTTTAAACATGTACAATTTGAATAAATCTATATTTCGAAAAGAAAATAGTAGTACTTCAGATAAGAATCTACAGGTTAAACTTACAAATTGAAATTTTGAAGAATGTTATACTTAGAACTAAATAAATTAATACTACTATACAAAAAATACACATACAAATGATTTGGGAACTGAATATGCAAACAAATGAATGCTTCTGGATACATATTGAAAACTAATGTAGTATGAAAAGTCTAAACTACTGCAGAGGTAATTCAAGGAAGACCATATAAATTATAGATGCTATTAGTAAAATAGAACATATCATAAGTTTTTATATTAAATTCTTTATAACTTAGGTTAATATGGGTAATTTACATTCAATATGAAAACAATAATTAGTGATTTTAATTTTTAACAATTATAATGTAATGAAAATGTAGATAAGACGGTAAAATATGTCAAAATTGAGAATATTGAGCCATTGAAATGAGGAAAAAAATTCACTTAAATATTTAATTATAGACAAACTGTATTCCACAAATAATTTTCAATCTTCTTAAATTTAACTTTAAAATATAACCTGGATGGATTCGTCCTACAAGTTGATGATAAGATTTTGGGTGGCTTAGTACATTAAAAAAAAATATTTGAAGTTTCAATTTACCCCTATCCTGAGTATGTATTAATATAGTTTGAACACAATTGAGCACAAAAAACTATGAACATCTTTTTGGTTAAAACGTAATATGTTATTGGGTCAGTAAATTATTGAAATCTTCTGATCTAGCATTTAATTGTATACATTTTTTCATACCATTTTAATTATCTAAACCAGTGTTTATTTTTTTTAAATTTAATTTAACAAATTTACTTCATTAGATTTTTTGCATAAGCAATTAAAGTCTAATGAAGCTTTAGTTTAATGGTTGAGAATAATTTAGTTCTGGGTCTTCACATATTTGGCATTACAAATATCTCCAGGTTATTTAAGTGCCTAGTGTAGATAGGTATTTTATTATTCTTAAATAGTTATTAAGGGCAGGACGGTGCTTATTGTAACCCTAAACTATAATTAGGACATCAAGGAACATCTTTAAACAAACACCATTCATTAATATTGATGTTTCAATAAATGGTTTTTTTTTTTGCATAATTTTTCTGTATGAAATGTTTTAGCCTCTTACTTAATCATCTTGAGTCCTATACTATGGCCAAACCATTCAGCACCAGGGTCACCAAAGTTTTTGAAATTGTCCAATTCTACATTGTAAGTATCATTCCAACTGAAATTTAAAAGAATATAATATAGTAATATACAATACAATATTATGTTTATACAATTTATTATTTAAAATACAAAGTCATAACTTTAAAAGTTGATTCACAGTATTTTTTTTTACTAAGTTAAGATTTAAGAATTATAAAAACATTAGGTAATTTTTGGTAGCACTGTGAATTTATTGATAATATCATAGTTACCATAATCATTATGACTCCGAAAAATGTAAACAAAGCAATAATTGTTTGTATTTTAGTATTAATTCATTTTTATTTTATTAATTTGAAATGAAATAATATCATAAATTATAATGATCTCAATGGAAAATAAGTAATACATTAAATATAACATACGTGGGTCCTTATTTATTGAGCTAAAAAATTATGGCTCGTATGCCAAAAGAACAAGGGGAAATATTAAAAAATGAAGAAGTACTACAAATGAAGTATGAGGAAAATAACAAAATAACAAAAAAATTTATGGATGAAATCAATGAAATGAAAAGTAAGATAGATGATTATGATAAGCATAGTACACCAGATGTTAAACACAAACCAAAACCAATTAGATCTTCAGAATTTAATACATTTATGAAAATTATTGATACTGGTGATACTATTGAAGAATTTAAGACTGTTTCAAGTAAAGAAATAACTATCAAAAATTATGTGTTACAAAAAGAAATTGATCGTTTAAACAACGAACTAGTAAAAAAAGATGATCTAAATGATCATTTACAAGAAGAAAATAAAAAACTGACTGAAGAAAAAGACAAATACGTTCATCAAGTATCATTGCTCAAAGAGAAAATAAGAAAACACGATAGAGAAGTTGAAAATTTAACTGGAACATTGAAAACTAGAGATTCTGAGGTAAACAGAATACTAAAAGAAATAGGATGTTTAGAGAGAAAATTTAAACACGAACAAATCATACATGAAAAACAAAGATCAATTTTTATAAAATCCTCAGATGAAAACAAACAGCTGAAAGAAACTGTAAAAAAGCTGGAAGCTGCACATAAAGAAGCTGAAGAAAAATTTACAAAAGCATTATCTAAGAACGATGATATCTTGGCAAAATGTGTTAGGGAAAAAGATGTACTAATTACAGGATTTAGAAAACAATTGGAATTAATAGATTCACTGAAGAGACAAAATGTAAGAACTAAGTTACAAGAAGAAATAAATATTTTAGAAAATGAATTTAGTAAACTTTTAGAAGGTAAATAAAATTATTTATTAGATAGGTATCAACAATTTACTTACTATTCTTCTGTAGCCAAGTTAGGTTTGTCTTGAGAATTATCCTCATCAAAGCTCATTTTTAAATGAAAATTTGATGAATATGTAGATACCTAAGAAATGAAAATATTCTTTGTTTACACTTTAAAGTACCAAATGTCCATTTATTGTATTTATACAATGTTTATTGTTTAGTTATAAGATATTTAAATTTAATATGATGCTGAAAAATAAATTATAATTTATAGGTAACTTCAGTAAGTAACTTGTAATGAGTGTATTGTCCTAATGTTCAAATGTTGTAAATAATTGTTATCACTTTATCAATAAATGTGTAGTTAATTTTTTGAATTATTTTTGTAATAATATTCAGGATTATGTGTGGTTTTGCACATAGATGGCGCACTAACAATAACAATTATAACATTTATTCAAATAAAATATATTATAAAAATAAAAGTACACAATTAGTATTTTGATCGTTTCAATCTTGAGTTTTTATTTGTTGAATTTTTTTTTTATAGGACATATCTGTAATAAATAATTAATAAAAGTGTATATATTGCATATAAATTGACTGCAAAATTAGCTGTACCTGATCCCCGAAAATGCCACGATTGCGGGACACAAGTTGCTAAATTTAGAAATGGTACTTCGACAATCTGGGAATGTGGGAATTTCTGAGTATATTAATTGTAGTACGTTACAAGTAATTACTGTTATACCTATTTCTGACAATATATTTATGTCATCAATAAACAAAGGTCGAGAAAAATCGGTGGAAAAAAAGATTTAGATAGAATTAATAATTAACTATTCAGAGCTATAATGATTATAAAAATCTCCAAAACGTATTACAATATTTAGAATCAATTTGTTGTCGTTACAGAGGGAAAAAATAAAAATTCAAATGTTTATATTGAGCTATGAGCTCTTCTTTTTTGATTTTTAACTTTTTAACTTGTGTAGTTTTGTTAATATTGTGAACTTTTAATGGATGTGTACAGTATAAGCACTTAACTTATAGAACACTTTAGTTTTTGATTTTTAACTTATTTTTATAGTCTCAATATTGTTGACTACCTATATAAATACGACTCCAATGTCATTATAAATCTATTATCACTAATCATCATTTGTTTTTGTATTATTATTCTTATTATTAATAATATTGTATTCCATGATTTATGATTTACTTGACGCAATGAAGTATATATTTTACACAGTGCTGTAGGCTATTTTAACTAGACATCTGAACGATAAGCCAATCATAAAATTGATAATCATTGAAGTTAGACTGTGTCGCACAACTTGGCAACGTTTCAACAAATTTCGACCGGAGTCGTGTAATTTTTTGAGTAAAAAATAATACCTTTTGTCATACAGAAATCGTTCTCAATCGAGTTGCAAAAAACGTAAAACGTCCGAAATCGTGTTTCACCCCTTTAGCTTGTCCTTTGTTTACTCTGCGTAAGTTTGTGGTGCAACCAGAAGTTTCTCGCCGAAGGGATCCATCGTCCATACATAGAGAATTGAAGAATTCGGTTGAAGAAAAAATCCGGTATATACCTATCCTATCATTCATTAGTCCACAACTCACTAGACACACGGAGTAGCTGTGAATCAGGCTTCAAGGTAAAGTTTTGCCCTTATTAATTTTTGTGCCAGATTCCAAGGAGGCTTACGAGATTTTAATATTTGGCTAGGATTCACTATTCATGTAAGTACTCGTGTATGGGTAGACTATTTAAGCATTTTAATGCATGACTGTTGTATCCTCAAACTAGGGACTTGTTTATTTTCGAAGGTGAAGCGGCGCTACATTGCTCAATAGGTACTGATAAAAAATTGGCTATTTTTGACTTATAATTGTTCCGGAAATTGTGTTCAGTTGGGTGTCTATTTTTCTCGTGTGTGTCTGAAGTCATGCTGGTGCACAGTAATTGTCTATAGAATAACCTAATGGCGAATGTAGATATCCTGATCATGTTATTATCTGAATCCCAGGTATAGTTTGAGTTTATTTATTACATTGTTTCTAGTCTAATCTTTACTGTCACCTTGGTTGAAAGTTCCCTGCAACGATGTAAGCGTACTGTCTACTATTATTCCTACAATCCTACCTATGTTGAATTAGGATTATTCCTTATTTGTAGCTCATTAAAGAGTATTAACCACCTTTATTTTCTATCTTGCCATTTTGTTGTTGAGATGGAACAGAGGTGTAACCTCCGAGTCAGTTTTAGTTGGGTTTGGTTGGAGCCTCCAGTTGAGTAGTTGGAGCTCAATTAAGGGGGCAGGGCTATTTAAATACTATATTATGTTATTACCTATATAGGCTATAACCGTGGTTAAGACATCACCAATAAAAAATGTTAAGGGGAGAGGTCATCAACCCATCCCATCACTTCAGCTCCTCCACTGAGTCAATACCACCAGACCACCTTATCATAGAAGATAGAACGGTGTGAATAGGTTTGTGGTACAGTTAAAGACGCAATAGGTAGCTTAGAATTAATCTAAATATTTTAAAAATATAAGGTTGTTTGTAAAGTATAATAATATAGGTACCTACACGTACGTATATGCCTCAAGTCCTCACATATAATATTTTTGAATTACAACTAAATATAATTACAATTATTATTTTTGTTTAACTATCTATAATTTCGATGAAATTCGAATTTAAAATTACTATAACCAAAAATTGTGTATATATACCAATTTTTTTAATTTTTTAATTTCAGAATAAACTACTAATGACATTTATAAGAATTTGAAATATATATAAATAGCTCAAAAAGAGTCAAAATATTTTTTAAGTTATACTATTTGTAAAAAGTGCTAATATCTGTAAACAATTGGTGAAAATATTCAAGTATTTACAGTTATTTGTTTTTTAACTACAAGTTTTTATAAAACGATAAGAAAATCGTCCAGAGAGCTAATGAGAAATCACGCTTTAATATCCAATTTCGTCAAAATTCTGACTACGTATTTTAGGTAAATACCATACTCATAAAAAATTATTGTGGATTTGTGTTCAGTTTTTTATATAAAATTTCAGTTATAAAAATTTACTAGGAACCATTGTACAAATGTTTAAATTTTTTGACATTCCTAGCAAAAGCATTTTTATCGATAGTTAGTTTAAACAATTAAAAAAAAATCGAGACAAAAATAGTCAAAATCATACCCTGTATAGAAAATGCTAACAAAAACATCTAGGGAAAATTTAAAGTAGGTATCTACAGTTATTCGTTTTTGAATTACAACAGAATAAGAAAAACAATTTTATCGAAAACTTGATTTGTGGAAAAATTCTCGTATTATATAGGTATTCCTTAATTTTTTTTATTTTTCCTAATTATTAAAAAAGTACAGGACATTTTTACATTTGACTACAAGATTTACTTTTTTACCAAAAAAGATTTTGATTTTGAAAATCTAAGGATTTTTAATGTTCCTAAAGGTGATGATACACAAGATACACAAGAAAAAAGAAAGATACACACACCATTATACGTATATTTATTATTTATATTTTCCCAAGCGTACACCACTGCTTGAATCTGTATTAAGTTTACACAGAATTATATAGGCCCTGGAGTGTGAGAAAAGATTTTTGAAAAACATAGTGGAGATTATTTTATACTAAACATTTCAAATTAAAAATGTTAGAATTCTGTGGTATTCAAAAGTTATAACCTTCTATTTACTTGAACAGTATTAATTATTATAATTTATAATATACCTACAATATAGGTTATCTAATATCATAGTCTACGGTTAATATATAAAGCAATATATTTAGCAGCCATAAGCTATAATATCTATACAATCTACATAATTGAAAGTCCTACTCTTACAATAAACCTCTGGTATTTAATTTTCGGAATAAATTACATAAATTCTGTGTTATATTGGAGTCTTAGAAATATCTATAAAAATGAACTCATTTTCTTTAGTTCATTAACTAAAATAACCTACCTATAACATATTACCTATAATTATTAACTGTTTTATTAACTGGGACACTCAGTATAATGTATCAGGTTTTTTAATCCATTTCAAAAAAAATGTACATCGTTTTGAGATTATGAATTTTTAAAATTGCATTTTATTTATATAGCTGCCATAAAAAATCCAACCTTGTGTACATAATATAGAACGCAACATAATATAGTGATTTTGTGTACAGGGCAAACAAAATGTCGCTATTCGCCGAAACGATGGTCGCATAAGTTACGAGTTATAGTAAAGTTTTTTATTTTACTGTTGTAAAGTTTTTATTTTATACATTTTATACATTCTAAACATTGTTTATTCCCCTTATAGGAAGAACCGAAGCATTAGATGTGCTACATGCACGTATAGCTGTCCTGTTAACACGTTCGAATGAATTATCATTGGTCGAGGCGTTTTGAATACGGATGGAGAATATATATAATAATAAAAATCCCCATTCGGACTGTCCTAGTTTTTTTTTTTGATTTCGGTTTTCTTCCTATACTCAAGGGTTTCGTACAAGCCTCCTCTTCCCCCGACTGATATATAACAACGTGTATGAAATATTTTATTGCGCTTCAAAACTGATATATACAATTTTCTCCTGACGCCTTCGCATGTGAATACGATATCCACCCCTTTTTCGTTCTCTACCGACCCCACCCCTCTCTTTTCTTTCCTTGTTTTTACCCTACGGTAATCCCCCAAGATGCACGAAAGTACAAAATATTGATGCCATCGCCGGACCCTTAGAATATTCAATTGGAATTGAGGCGTAAACATGTCCTCACTCTACAATATCGTGCTGTAGTGTAGTCGTACACAAACTGACAGACGAAGTACGATCTTTATTTTATTTTTATTTTTACGACACGTATTCGAATGGAAAAATATATATTGATGAATATCAAATGAACATAAAATATAAAAAATATTTGTCTTGATTTTTTTCAATATATCGCAGAAATACTGCAGCTGGCTTATAATAATTATAAATATACTGAATATTT